CAATAAAATGAAAAATATGCGAAATAATATACATGGACTGATTTCTTTCGAAAATCGACAACTATGAAACTATGAACCTTTCGCGGACACAAACGGTACATTGTGAGACAGGAAATTGTAGAGAGAAACAATCCTTGTAACATAGGATACAACATTTTAATGAACAGTGCTTTCCATAAAATCAATAAAATCAAAAATATACGAAATATTATACATGTACTGATTTCTTTCGAAAATCGACAACTATGAAACTATGCACCTTTTCCGGACACAAACGGTACATTGTGAGACAGGAAATTGTAGGAAGAAACAAGCCCTATAACATAGGATACAACATTTTAATGAACAGTGTCCTAAATAAGTAAAAAATATTATAGTTGTATTTTTTTAAATAGTATATATTATGTATATTATCTATTTTTAATAATTATTTCACGTAAAATATATAGGGTGTTCTATTTAAATTAAACAAGTTATTGCCGTTTAAAGCTAGTAATTATATAATATAAATTTTTGAACACTCTATATGAGGTAGTATAATTTTTATCATTGCAACACAATATCTGATCAATAAATAATCTTCAGTAAATATTTAGTATTAAAACCTTTAATACTCTTGGAGAAATAAAGCCTAATTTTTTTACTGCAATTCCATCATGCATATCCATGCATGAATACATGGATATCATTATACTCCGTTCTTAATTATTTTTATTCAAGTTCAGTAAGAAATAAATTCTATAACACCTTCGAAACTGTAAAACACCATGCCAGTTTTTGATTAAATTATTAAGTTATTGCTTGGTCGTTCATTCCTTCCTCTCAAAAAAACATCCCCTCCAAAAAGCGTAACGGCTCTCCCTTTTTCGTCTCCCCAGGGAGATCCTCACCCTTTATATCTCCTCCTTTGCCCCTCCAGCCATAACTTATCTAATATTAATCTACCGTGAAATGAACTATATCTGCCGTTAGCTCCACACTAATTCTTTAATCGGAGCGATGCCGCGTCGCTTTTAATTGCCTTTTATCTTTGGAAACGTTGCCGCGTTGCCTCCCCGACGACGCCATCACAAACGCCATTACGAGATTAGGATAAAGCCTTGTTATTCTTGTTTTTCTTTTAACTTCGGATTCGCTTTTGTCCGGTGTTTGATTCGGAATGGATCGCGAAAAGATTAGAGTTAAGTTAAAAGAAATAATATTTTGTTTGAAATCGAATTTATTAATTAAGGTTTTTCAATTGCATTAGTCCCTTGTTAGCCGAACCACCGGCGGATTGAGGATTCAGGAAAGGGGGAGGTTAGACACAAAACTTTACTCCAAGTATACAAGGTGCTACAAATTCGGGATACGAGCATTGGTATCTCGATAACAGTAATATATACGAATATGGTTAAATTGGGGTAAAGTTGCGCTTTGGGATGTTCACCAAGAGACCATGAAAAAAGTTTAAAAAATTTCAAGGCTTGCTGAGTTTTTTGGAAAAAACGGATTTTTTTTGAAAATAAATTTTATTTTTTCCGGAAAATTTTATACGGAAAATCAAATGCAATAAAAAATAATATAAAATAAATAATATAAATATAATACCGGGTATCGCATCGTCGAGCGGGACATAGGAAATCCCATGTAAATTTTAATGGGGTCAATTATTGGCTTCCCTAATTATTTTAGAGAATAATTTTATTTAGGTTTATTGAAGAGCACTAAAACCCACATTCAAAAGAATAACTTTAGATATTTTTGATTAGCCCGTTTACGAGTTATCGCCGATTTCTTTTTAAATATTTCTCCTTTCTTATGGCCCTGTATTTACTTATGAGCACTAGTCAAGGTAAAAGATAACTGTCAAATGAAGTTGTCATTTCAGAAATTTATCTATTTAGTACTTTATTATTATTATTATTAAAAAATCATACCTACATCGAAAATATTAGCCATGCATTACACTACCGAAGAAAAAGTATTGATGATTAAATGGTATTATCAAGGAAATAGTAATCAAAAGGTGTCGAACATGTTAGCTGCTCTGTATCCGTATAGACCGATACCTGAAAAATCTACAATCGCAAGGAATATCCAGAGATTTGAGACCAAAGGTACCCTAATAAATAACTGCAGATGAGAAGCAAGGCAGAAACAAAGAGAAGATGCAAGAAATGATACCGACTTGGAAGTTTTATTGTGCGTGGAAGAGAACGATGGAAATATCAGCACAAGGAACTTGAGGATGAAATAGGAATAAATCACACTACAGCGTTTCGAATTTTGAAGCGACATAAATACTATTCCTTCAAATATGAAAAGCACCAAGAGCTACGAGATGGGGACGAAATACGGCGGCAGGCGTTTTGTTTTGATCTGATGGAAAGAGCAAACACGGATAGGGAATTTTTAAAAAACATATGTTTCACTGACGAATGCACGTTTACCTTAAATAATGAACCCAATGTTCAAAATTATCGATATCGGAACAAAGAAAACCAACACAGGTTTGTCGAAACAAGGACGCAATATCCACAGAAAGTAAATGTTTGGGCAGGGATATTCGGACACAATATTATCGGGCCATTATTTCTTACGCGAAATTTAATTGCAGAATATTATTTGGAACTACTCGAAAATCATATTTTACCGGCTTTACATGATGCCGCTAGGGAAAAATTAATATTATATATTATAAAAAAACGATTAATATTATGCATATTATTATAAAAAAAGTTAAAAATAATATCTTTAAATTGCTGACCTGGATATTATTTATTTACATTTTTCAATTGGCTCGATCTTATTCAATGTTAATTAGCGCTGATCAATATTGTTACGATGAATATAATCAGATTAACTTATTAAAAAAAAACAGACTCGGACTTGAAATTATTTTAAATAATAATTTAATAGATTTGCTGTCAAGTTAAGGTACCCAAAACAAAAAAGGTATAGAGTGTGTCATATCATTGTACTTTGGAGACCGAGTTCTTTTAAAACCTAAAATGAAAAATGCAGGTCCGTATTTAAAAAAAAAATAAGTTGGCCTCTGTATCTCAGTACTACCAGATAGCCCTAATAAAGTGGCTATGAGAATGTGAAATTAGTTTTTTGATTTTCTAAAAAGTAACGACAAGAAAAAATAAAATTGATTTTCAAAAAATCTGTTTTTTCCAATAAACTCAGCAATCCTTGAAATTTTTAAAACTTTTTTGATTGCATCTTGGTGAACATCCAAAGCGGGCAACTTTGCCCCAATTTAACCATGTTCGTATCTATTACGGTTACCGAGATACCAATGCTCCTACCTCGAATTTGCAGCACCCTGTATAATATATCAATAAATAATAAATAACACGCAATTTGAGAATTAATGTTTATTTACATGCCGATTAAATTTGATTGTAGCAGATATTGCAATTTGAGAACGTACAACTACGGCTAGAAATAAAATTATTAATTTTACTATAACCGTATTTTTATCGCTTGCGATCGAATCAATTCTCAATAATTTTACGCTTTACGTTGAAAGTAATTTATTGTTTTAGATGTTTATTGGTGAACGGTAAGAGTTAAATATCCATAAAAAGATAATTTCGTCTGTTATTAACGCCTGTGCTTACTAGAATATTATTTACAGTTAGTCGTATGAATATTACCACAGAACAGATACAAATCAGAAATTTCACTGAACGTCGGTGCTTTTCAAGTGTGTTGTAAGAATTCCGTTCCTCGCGCACAGATTTCATCCTCCTGCGCGCCGCACAGCTGATCATTAGTTGATGGCTTTAAACGAGCCAGGGTCGAACTCAGATACGTGTGAATCGTGACAGGAGCGTATTTCTCGTTTTTAACAGTATTTATTTGAAAAAAGTAAGATTTAGTAGTGACAAAATAAATAATGTGTAAAAATAATACGAAAAAATCATGCCAATTGATTCAAATGTTTAAAGCGTTATTTTACAAAAAAAGTGTTCATTGAGTTGAGTCATTGTTTTGTATCTCGTTTTCTAGAAATAAACATTAATATTTAATTTTCAAAGAGAATAATCACAAAAATAATTCGGACAAGGTGGGTTTTGTGGCAGAGGATACCGTGCATGATCGAGAAAGACGGCATCAGCGTTGGCTTTGAAATGAAGATCGCTGTCATTTTATATGTAAATTTATATGGAAAGTCATCGATCGTCGTTTCCCAGCCAACTGGACGCCGTTTTTTTTTCGATCATACGGTATTATACCGTATGATCGAATAAAAACGGCCTCAGCGATGGCTATGAAATGAAGATCGCTGTCATTTTATATGGGAAATGTCATCGATTGTCATTTCATAGCCATCGCTGACGCCGCTTTTATTCGATCATACTGTAATTTGTGTAAAGGGGCCTAGGAAAAATGCAGGATTTGCAATAAGTAATAAGGATTTTGCTGCAGTAACCTAATTTGTAGTGAATTTTTATAGGAATAAGCGACTTTTAACTGCAGTTTGGGACCCTGTTTATGTAAATTTCAGGGTCCCACTATAAACTTGACGCTGTCATGATTTTATGATTCAGCAATTTTATTTTTTTCAATACAAACCTTCATTTGAAAATGTAGACAGAATATAATAAAAACAATTTGACTGAAATAAAATAACATTTTATTTGTTATTATAAATATGTAAAAATTATACATATAATCCTAGCAATGTGATATTAGGTACAAAATCTAATACAATTACTTAAATGTAAATGATCCTAAAATTTATTAATACAAATGAAAAATTAAAAAAAAAGAATAGATAAATATCTATGATCTAACTAAACTTACTTGCTAATTAAAAATATCTAAATTGTAAAGAAAATTTGTATTTAGGAATTTATCGTATTTAGAAACATATCTATATGAAGTAAAATCGATAAAAATTTAGTTTTAATAACACATTTTGCTTTTATTTTACCGTTTTAAATAAATATTATTTATAAAAAATATGAATGAATATTCCGGATGAAATTTCTTTTCCAACTTCTAATTTGTAACCTTAACCCATGTTTTCTTGGACTATCCACACTAAGGGATGTAGGTGTCTGTTGTGAAAAATCTATACAAACAAGAAATAAAAAAATATTATTTATCTATTTGAAATATTGATCTTCTCTAAATATTATAACAAACTACCAAAAAAAACATTTATTGAAAACTGGAATTCTATACCCTATATTAATATGGAAGTACAGATTTATACAGGGTTGCGCACCTCATTCGCCTCAGTTGATTGTATGACAACGGAAAGATGTAGAAACCTACTAGACAGAAACCTGTCGCTGGAAGTGAAGAAAATGAATTTCCCTTAATTGGCTCTTTTATAGAAAATCCAATATATCTACCAGTCATCGTAATATAAATCAAAGAACTACTTTATTTTTCTTGATAAAATAATAAATACTTATTAAACTATTGTAGGTAAATTAAATAAAAATAAACTGTTATAAATTTAAATAAAGTCCATAAACTAATGTCGATTTTAAAAAGAGCTACTAACTGTCACTAGCAAATTGCCATGATGACACCAGCCTTCTTGATTGCCATTTTATTGAAAAGTCGCTCTTTATTCAAAATCTGAGCCAGATAGGTATAGGAAAGCCTAATATAGTTTGAAAGAGCATTTAAATCTGCTTCAACTTCTTTTAAAAAATACATAGTGTTGTATTTGAAATAACAAAGTTTTTATGTAAAGTAAATACTTAAAATAGACCAGCAATTTTTGATACCCCTCTATACATTTAAGGATGCAATACATTTTTTAGTAAAGTTTATTTCTCTGGCTTCAAAGTCAGCACAAGAATTAACTCTTAAAAATTAATGTACAGGATGTTGACAAACTTTGTTATTATAACATGCATATTTAAATGTATTTAAATATCTCAAAAACCAAACCTTTTAAACATATTAAACCCTTATAATAAATACCTTATTTTATGTCCAAGAATCCCAAAGTGAAATAAAATACCGTGTGTTCCATAAGAAAAAATATAACTTTGGTATGGATCTTAGTCCTGACACACCCTGTACATTTTAAAATAATTTTAAATTAAGTACATTGTCTTTCCACATATACCCATAAAATATTTTGTTTCTATATCTTTACGTTTTCGTATAATCAACCAAGATGAATGAGGTGCGCCACCCTGTATTCAGCCTTGTGTTTATAAAATATTTTACTGACCTTCAGATGTAACTTCCTTTGGATGTTGATGGAATAGCGATTACATCTGGTGAAGTAGATTCCGAAACAGCTCAAAACATAAAAAAATATTTATTGAAAATTGGAATTCTATACCCTATATCGGTATGGCAGTTCAGATTTATATTCAGCATTGTGTTTAAAAGGTAATAGTATTTTACTCACCTTCAGATGTAACTTCCTTGGATGTTGATGGAATAGCAATTACATCTGGTGAAGTAGATTCTGAAACCGCTGAAAACATAAAATAAAATATTTATTGAAAACTGGAATTCTATACCCTATTGCATTGTGTTTAAAAGGTTAAAAAAAATAGTATTTTACTCACCTTCAGATGTAATAGGAACAGCAGGAATAGTAGCTTCAACTTCCATCATGGAATTGTCTACAAAAATATATTTATTTAATTTTTTTGAGCATAACACAAACACAATTTTAAGAGGCAAAATTGAAAGCTAAATGTTATTGTCAAAAGTTTTTGTTTTTCAGTAATATAGTATTTGTCATAAAATATTGAAAATATTACACAGAACCACCACGAACAGACTGAAACTGGATTTTCTAAATGCCTATCTATAAACTATTTTTGTTTATTTAAATGTTCGTTTGTGCAAGTGTATAAATCGATTGTGCAGATAAACAAGCAACTGATGATTTGAAAAAAAAATTACAAGTAAAATGAAAAACAATGCTTATGAACCCACCTGACATCAATAAAGTTGGAACAGCAAATTTCTTTTAGACGGCTTTGAGACATTCCCGCAAACATGGTAGGTTGAAAGTGTTTTCCCACAAACTCTATACCCTCTATGCAAATCTATAGGTGATTTTGCTCTAAAATCATGCCTGTTGCAGTTCTTAAACCCACTCAGAACATCTAGAATTTATTAAAATATTTTTCGTTATTTAATAGATGATTGTACATACATGAGTCTGTCAAAAACTTTAGAATTTCTAAAAAATCTTACTAGATTGTTTAAAATTCTAGAGGAAACATTCCTTATTGTGTAGATAAAAAATATTTATGTACCTTTTTGGATCCAATAGGAATGAAAAGAAGCTAAGACCCATATCAGTCTCCGTATTGCTTAAACAGCCGGGAACACAGCAGTAACGAAGGCCCATTATAAACAAAATTGTCAAACAAATATAGTCACAGGTGCTTGTCAGATATAACACCATCCGAATTTGGCATTTATTTATATATCAGTCAAAAGCATACACTTAAATAAGAATTTTAAGCAAAAAAAAATTGCGGATGAGGCACAATTTATTGAAAAATAAATAAATTAAAAGTGCATTTTTAGGTTATGGTGAAGTTGTATAAGCGTGTAATTATTGTAAAATATGACGATTATATGCATTTTTTATTAATATAAATGTCAGAATTAATCATTGAGAAACATTAATAAGTCATAAATCAAAAATAGAGTTGGTGATATCTTTTGTAATATTTGCCTGATCGATTTACTCTTTCGATTCAAACTTGCCGCCGGAGCTGTCTGTCACTAGATGTTGTTAAGAATGTAAGCTGCGTAAGCATTGTTGCCAAAGTTATTTCTTGTTTGTATGATACATAATACAAGCATAATACCGTATGATCGAAAAAAAAACGGTGTGCAGTTGGCTTGGAAATGACGATCGATGACATTCCCCATTTAATTTTACATATAAAATGACAGCGATGTTCATTCCATAGCCATGGCTGATGCCGTTTTTTTTTCGATCGTACGGTACGTTACATGATACAAAAAAAGAGTTGAAACCGAAAGAGTTTTGATTGCGCTGGTTTCAATCTTTTCGTTGAGGGTGTTAATCTTTTGTTATGTTTTTTTTATTTTAATACGAATCTGATTGCTTTCACTTGATTTTACGTAGTGGTCGCCGGACGAACAAATCCTTATTACAGTAGCGCTGTCAGTAAGAACAGATTATAAATTATTTTAAAATCAAGACATTGAAAGCACTCAGATTCGTATTAAAATATAAAAAAAATAACAGATTAACCCCGAAAGAAGTTGAAACCAGAAACCAACGCAATCAAAACTCTTTCGTGCAACTTTGTAGTTATAAATAGTCAGATCCCGTAGGCAAAATATCAGCTATGGGTAGGAGCAGTTCCTCAGGCGATCGCCTTTTCTTGATTTTAAAATAATTTATAATCTGTTCTTAACGCGAGTTTTCTTCCGACCAGCACGTGTTTTTTAATGAACCTTTCAAGAAGAAATGAATGAATCTGGCAACGCCGACAAAATTTGGAGGAGTTTTCGCATAGAAAGTAGCCTGTTGTAGCAATAATTTGATGTTTATTTTTTCATTAAATTATGGATCATCCACACTTTTTTTTGGCTTGAAATACTTATTTCGATGTATGCTTTCGAGTGATATAAAAAAAAGTACAAAATTCGGAGGGTGTTATATCTGACAAGCACCATAGTCACAAAATATCACAAACACACCACAAAGTAAATTAAAATTATTTTAATTTACTTTTCCGTTAATTTACTTTTCCGCCCGTTCATATGACATTCATATTTTTAGGTTAGAAATGTTGAGCAACGTTGTCAGTTGTCAGATTTTAACAAAGAAATTCCTGAATCTTTAATTACCATTGCAATAATAATTTTTTTATATTTAGCAGTAAAGCAAAATAGAGTGCAAAACTGACGATGCCCGTTGGTTTTATTTATTCTAAAATCAATTTCAATTGTTTTGGTTTAAATATTTCAATGATAATATTTTTTAACTTTTTTTGTGCAGAAAATGAGGTAAATTTTTGTTACATTTCGTACTACGTCGCAAAATGCTGCACTCAAGGGACGTTGCCATGCCGCGTTTTTCGTAATAATAATGTTAATTTTTAGGCATATTTTAATTTTCCAAATATATCAAATTCCTCATAATTATGTATATTCGGTAATTCTTGTATACTTGCGTCACTTATTTCGTGAAAGAAATGCTAAATGAGTGAAGAAATGTGGCCGTGGGATTATAATATAAAAATACATTTGTCAAGTACTGAGAATTATGGGTTACCTTGGCAACCTCACAAAAACCTTGCGCATGGTTTTGTGCCGCCTGCGCGCATATAACATAAAAAATAAAATCTTGACAACGGAAATCCCATAAGTGAAATTTCTGATTTGTATCTGTTCTGTGATATTACTTTCAATCTTGTTGTGATATGAAGAAAAAAATTATGTGTATGTAGATGTGGGGGAATTCTAGTTCCTTAGTTCTAGTTCATCCAGAGGAAGAGTTCCTTGAACTAGGTTTTTAGTTCATAATAGTTCCCGACTAACATTGACATTCCTGTTGCTTTTTAATGGGTTTCGTTGTCAGTCAGAACTATTCACAGTATGATCTGTATAATTTTTAAAATGTACTCAATATAGCGAGACGTTTAACTGCGTATGTTTAAAACATACAGGTAAGTTTTATTGCAGATAAAAAAATAAAAAAGAAACGAGGATCAGAGAAAATATGTCACAAATAAATTGGAGCAAAAATTATACGAAAAATTGCATTTTTTCTCACTTCAAGCTTTTTGTTTTTGTCTAAAAATTCAGAATATTTACTTTGTTTTCGATATTTTGTATTAAGAAAAAAAAAATTGAAATTTAGTGTACTTGCTTGCTTACCTTAGCGTTAGAGCCACTCGGTTGTAGGAAGAGATTGTCAACTCGTCTTCAACAAGGTTTAAAATGAAGGAGAACCTTTCACGAGTCAATCTAAAATACCTTTCTCTTCCTCATCAAGGAGACGAGTCTTGATCAAACTGTTGAAAGTTCCTTAATTTTTCCGACTTTTCAGCACATCACTCACTTGTTTTCTGGGTTTTGTATACTCCGTCAGCAATACCTCTTCTTCCTGGTTATCTCCTATAATTTCTCTAAATAAAAACGCAACAATTAACTTCCTTTTCCTGCACATGGTCGCCATTTTACTTTGTTCGCGACTTTTCTAGGCCAACTGAACTACACCACTAGGAATATCTCTTCTTCTTGGTTATCTCCTATAATTTCTCTTAATAAAAACGCATCAATTAACTTCCTTTTCCTGCACATAGTCGCCATTTTACTTTGTTCGCGACTTTTCTAGGCCAATTGAACCACACCACTAGGAAAACACTTTTACGCCGCGTAAAAAAAGTTGCCCTTCTGCCGACGTTTTTTTTATAACTTCAGTTACTGCTGCGCAAAAAACCTGCGGCTAGGAAAACATACCTTAGACTAGTCTTTTGTTTAGTTCCTCTAGGTCCGAATCCGATAATATACGGCTGGCAATATACGGCTGGCCCTACTTCTGCCTAGCATCGGTCACAGTCTCGATCGCGGAATAGGTCCTGAGGAACTAGTTCTTTGAGAAACCGGGAACTAGTTCCTTTCATTCCGGGGTCGGAATAGTTCATTTGAACTAGTTCGTCCACTACATACCTCTAGTGCGCATGTTTGGAGTGAAACTTCCTACTAACAGTTTCCTCAATAGCCTGCAAATTTTGTAGAATACCACCCAAAATACACACTTTTATGTAAACGCCTAATAATGTTAACGCCCCTTAAAAAATATTTAAGAAGAGAAGAAATTTTGAACCTAACCAACAATTTGTATGGTCTGTTTTTTATATGTTTTGATCATTATTTATAGTGATTTATAGTGATTTTGTTAAATGATACGAACTTTCGTTTGCTTAACTTTAATAATTCTAATTCTGAGCTTGCAAATGAGCTAGATGCTTTACCTAGACCGTTATTCAGAAGCTACAAACCTATCGATGAAAATATGCATGAAAATTTACTTTCTAGCACACAACCAGAATTGGTACACAGGTTAGGTTTTTTAGTTGATTTTCTCAGCTTTAAATCAAATGCCTTTCTGGTGTTTGCGCGATCGTGCCATTCTTACCACTTTTCATCTCGCTAGATCGCGAGTCACGGTCTTGAATTTTCACTCCCAACGCACGTAAAAAAGTTTCTCGGAAGTTTTACTTCAATAATCTCATAGGATGCTGACTTTGTCCATAGACAAAGTGTCATAACTGTCACAAATTACCTATAACAGATGCGAAAGAACATCGAATTACGCGTTCAGGTTTCTGTGACCTTCAGGAAGAGTTCATAGACAATCCGCATCAATGTATAGTTTGGATTATTATTCGTTTGGGTGAAAATAATCTGCACCAATATGTTATCGAGGCATACAAAAAGGTCCACAGACTTCGAGACATACGAAAAATCAAGTCCATTTAGCGTGTGTCGCAATTTTCACACCTTAAAAAATTAGTTTTTTTATAGCTATAGCAACTGCAGCGACTATGAAAAAAGCTGTGTGATTTTCATAGAAAATAAGGGCACCTGTAATTCATTTGAGAATGTTATAAATCGCTAAAAGAGGTTTCAAATCTCTTGGATTTCTATTAATATTAAATAAATTTTATTAAAAATTGAACTAAAATTGTTAGTATCATTAAAAACAATTCAAATTCAAAAATTGTATCAAATTCCCTCATTTAAGGTGAATATTAAAGTAAATATAAATACAGCTCATTCTAAGCTCTACTTATCTTTAAGAAAAATTTAAATCATTGTTGCAATTGGGCCTTAATGCCATTTCGAATGAACAATAGTATTAATAATGTACATTATAATAATAATAAATTTTATATCATAGTGTGTATTAAAACTACTAAAACACTTTTAAATTGGTATTATATTAACAACTTTTGTTTTTTAATCCAAAAAAAAGTTA